GCAAGACAAATGTTGGGAGGACACAACAGGATTTGTTTTATGTGTGTGTGTGTGTGTGTGTGTGTGTGTGTGTGTGTGAAATAGTGAGGCGTTGTTCTGTGTCTTGTATTGTCTCTGTTGGGAGCAGCTCAATGCTCAGAGGCTCCTCTGCAGAGCGCTGATGTAATGCTCTGTCTGAGCCCATCTCTTGTTTGTGGAGTCACATGTAATGCATCAGGCTGCCGTAATCATCCAGACTGGCACTGGAGCGCTACTACTATGAAAAAATGGTTTTCTGAAGAAAATGAGAGTAGTGCTTGCAAATGCAAAACGCCATGATGCTAGTGTGTTATTTGGAGTGTTGATGTTTGGTATCAGGGTGTTCTACGTACTTTCAAGATTCAAGATTCAAGATTTTTATTTGTCACATACATGGTTATATAGAGAATATATGACCAGCAGTGAAATGTAAGTCAGGTCCGCTCCATGGACAGTGCAATTATTAAAGAATACAAACACAAGAAAATTATATATAAATATAGGTATGGAAAAAAAAAATATAAGAATAAAATAAAATGCGCAGGACAGTGTATTGTAGACTTAATAGATATTAAGATAAGCAGGAATGTACAAGAGAAGAATGTGCAAACAGGTTGTACAGATAGTTAAATAGCAGCAATAGAGGTAAAAAAAAATAAAAATTGAGCCACAGGTGGTTGTTGAGGTATTCTCTTGCTAGTCGGTTATTCATCTTATGACAGTCACTTTAGCAACCTGATAGAATCACATTCATTTTCTAGAAACTGATTTTTAATGATTCTGAATGAATTTTTTGTTTCAAGATTATTACTTCTTTTTAAGTCATCAGTCAGCATAATTTCAACTTTTTTCAAGTTTTTTAACTTTAAAATAAATCATAATCAGCCCCTAAATTTCAGTGGAAATTACACTAATTACACTAATTCTGAAGAGAGAATCACAGCAAACAATCTGGGCAAATTGAACTTCTTATATTTAATATTGATTTTTATTTAATATTATGTATCCACTACCATTCAAAAGTTAATAAGGGGTTTATGTTTATATATAGTATTGAGGATTGAGTGCATAAATGAACATACTTTAAAGAACTTGAACTTTTCCGTATTGTAAATCCTTTTTTTGATTGATCTTAGGAAATATTCTAATATTTTGAGATACTGGATTTTTGACTTTCAAGAGCTGTAAGCTCTAATCATCAAAATTAAAACAAAAAAACTTTTGAAATGTTTTACTTTACATGTAATGAATCTAGAATATATGCACTTTTCACTTTTTGAAATG